CATATAAATTCACATATGCATAATATTTTTTAGCACAAAACTTCTGAAAAGGACCGTTAACCAACACCCCGTTCGCCGCTGATTGTCCAGTGCGCTGCTCAGACGACAAGTCCAAGAAGCAAACCAGCAGTAGAACCCACGAAGCCAGTGACAGAAAAACACCACCCGAACAAAACCAAACCACGTCCTGGAGAGGACGTGGACTAAAACAGGACACCAAAACACCAGGCAAAGAATCCATCCCACAGAAAACAAACAATGTGACAATGAGTCGCCGATCGGGATCTAGCCGTCTTACACTATTATCCCCGCTAGACCTTGTTGGCCGAGTGCCATTTGAAAATTCAATGTTTATTATTATTACCCAAGATTGAACCTTTGTGAAGACTTCGCTTTGAAGAAGAGTCCGAACGAATAAGAATGAAAGTCTATTTGACTACGAAGCATTCACTAGAAGGTGTAGGAGCAGGAGTAGCTGGAGACTGTTGGTCATTCTTTCCTTGTGGACTTAGAATCGCAACCATTAAGTAAGAAACTTGTTAAAGTATTCTAAATTGTATGTGGGCTTTCGAGGACTACAGAGCCACCAGTGAACTTCACATGGAGTGTGGTACGGGTACACACCATTGCCACGAGGTCGAGGATGGAGTCGAGAAACTTTGGATCCTCCTCTAGAGCAGCGGTCGCAGATCATCCAGATACGGAGAATACCTCTGTAGATGATACAGCCGTACAACATTATAACAAATTCTAATAATCGCAATCGTAAAAGATATGACTTTTACTGAGTACAAATACATGATGCTAACATGAGTAATATTACATCAGTATTTTGCATCTGAGGATGCTGTCTCATCTCTTGGCTGAAAACCCTCCTACAATGATTTAGAATGATCTCCGCTGAACTATTTTGAAGAGCCTTCAACAAAACCATGACAGGTAAGTCAGTAAACTATTCAGAAGGGTGAGGCACTGAAGAAGGAGATGTTTATCATCTGGTGAAAGCATGTTTTGCTAGAGTACTTTAGTAACAAAACAGCATTTAGTTAAATGTGGAAAATAAGGTTTACTTTAGTAGTAACTGTTATGTCTTTTATTTTTAAACATTTAAAATATTGCTGGGATATTACTTTTAAAATGTGGGGTCCGTGGTGTGACACAAATTGAATGACCAATGGAACCTTCTAATCCATGGAAAGATTTACATGTCTGCCAAGTAAATGCAAAAAATGTTTATGAAGGCACTAGAGGCAATTACAAAACATGCTTTTAAAACAAGACACCAAATTCTACAGTTTATGCTATTATATGAAGAACATCTTTATCTAGGAAGAAGAGAAAGGATAGGATGATAGCAAGTTCAGAAACATAAATCATCTTATTGAACCTGTGATAAGACCAGTATATGAAATACACAGAACAAATATTTTCCTAACTATTGAAAACCTTTAAAGTTAATTAGTTTGAAAAGACATTATTTCTTGTCCAGTAATAACACTTCAATTAACACCTTCCAATAAAGGACAGAAGATTATTGTTTTATCTAACAAAACTGAAAACATTGTTTTCAACACTTCCACAAAATTTATTTTAAATTATTATCATTGCAGCGGTTTCAGAGAAAGAGTGCCTTTCTCAAGTTATTTATTTCTGGCATGTGTTTATACTTCATAGTCTGTAACTGAATAAGTTGAGCAGTGAAGAACTGTTTATCTCAAGTTGGTCATTCAGAATTATGTTTGTATTTTTTAATTTGTTAATTTTCATAGATTTTAATAAAGATAGCATAAGGCCTTTATTTTGAATGTGAAGAATTTGAAATTCGTCATTAAAAGAATGATTATGGTTTAAGGTGAAATGCGTACATAGAGTATGTTTTTCTATTATTGAATAGAAAAACCATTTTTTCTTTGTTCTGCTATATGTTTGATAAAAGTTTTACCAGTTTGACCAATGTAAGTTTTTAGGCAGTTGTCACAATTAAGTTTGTATACACCGCTGTGTAATTGCTAACAGGAATAACACTCAACATCCAATTCTAAAACACCACACTCACCTACAATAAAATACCAAAGTACCTTGGGATGACTCTTGACAGAAACCTATCTTTCAAGGAATATCCGTTAAAAACAGCGTAAAAACTTCATCCAGAAACAACATCATCCAGAAGCTGGGGAATCACGGAATACTGCTCTTCTGCCTGGCTTAACAACCCACATATACACAAAGTAGATGGCCAATTGAACAATCAATGAATATGATTGCTGACTTTATCAAATCCAGCCTTATAATGGCTCCCAGAACTGAACAACATTTCACCACCAAAACTATGGCACATACACTCCCTCACTAGTGAGTACAGAAAGATACTTAATAATGAGATCCTGCCAGTTGATCAAGGTATAGATGCTGCCAATGGTAACCATCTATGCTCCAGACAACTGCCAATAAAAACAGCACAGAATGCTGTTGAAAATGAGTTCAACTTAACGACCACTTGGACTCGAGAATGGGTGGAACAACAAAATAGCAGCTTACCCTGAATCATACAAAAACCACTAGGTTTTGACTTACCACGCAACACATGAACTATGCTGAACCAAATCAGAACCCAATACACAAATGGGGTAAATGGCACAATACCCAGTGTGACTGCGGATAACCACAAACCATCTGTCACATTATAAAACAGTGTCCCACAAGATCCCATCATGAAGGGTCAGAGGATTTCCTAATAGTGACTTCAGAGTCAATAGACTACACAAATAAGTTAGATGTTTGTTTGTAAACATATTTATTATGTTTTATACAAAATATATGTAAATTTAAATGTAAATCTGTCAAGTTCTATATGATAAATAAAACAATAAAACGATAAAATGAAATCAGAAATATTTTTTGCTATATACTTTTTAGATGTAGGTATAGCTAGTGCTGCCATAAACAATGAAACAATATATTTAACAAAAAAAAATTAAAAGTGAAGTCTGTTAGGCATTCATTGATCATTATTTGGACATCATCCATTAGAAAATTGTCCACAGCTTCTACCAGCACCTGTTTTAATGACTACAGATTATGGTGACAACTTGTATAGACCATGTGCTCTAAAACTCACCACATGGATTAAATTTAAGTATGTGCTGGCTGACAGCCAATGGTCACTACTAAACTACAAGTTGATACATGATTTTCAAGCCACTGTTAAGTAGTTTTAACCTTATGCTCAGGTGCAGGGTCCTGTTGGAATATCCATGGTCTATTTTGGAACATGGTGTAGTTTAGGGCCCAACTACATTTGTTAAAATGTTTCACTGATAATTTCTCTCCACTGTGTTAACACTCTTTTCACAAAAATGTAAAGAAAGGATGTCATTATAGGACACTTTCCATTAAACCATCGCTAAAGTAGCTTGGCACCAGTTAACAGGCTTCCTTGGATGAGTTCGCATCACTCTTTACCATAAAATGACAACAGGTGTCTTAATTTGTTTTTCTATCTTGTTTTAATGCAATGGTAAGGTGTTTGTTGTGTGAGTCAATATTTTTGTTTTCAGATAGGATTTATGTTAATTTTTAACCTAACAGCATCAACAACCAGCGGCATCCAAGCCTCACGAGACAGGCTGTATCTTTTATGGTTACTTACTTCTTTTCTATTTAAAAACCACTTAGAGGTATGGATACACAAAAACAAGCTTAATATTTGACAGTTTTAGTAAAGTTTTGGCTATATTTAGATTATCAGCTGTACAATGACTGGACTAGGTATATTCAGATTTAAACCATACAACTCTCATTACATTTAAGGGAAAAACTCTTTTTTATACCTAAGATATCAATAAAATAGAACTCTGGAGCTATAAATTCATGTTATTGCTCCATAGTGACCTGGTATGCTGGATTATTTCCTATAAATTTTCATTCACATCTGGACATTGTAAGCAGTACAGATTTTTGCATGATCTTATATATTTTCGCTAGGACTTTACTTATTTACTGAATAATTACTGTGATATACCCATTTATTATTTTTTATATGTAGATTTCTATTTTATTTGTGATTCTTTGTTAAAATCAACATAGAATGTTTTTAGAGAACTCCATAAGATACACATTAACTTCTTGGACTTCCAAAATAGTCTAAAGACAAGAATTAATGCATGATGTTAATGCTGGAGAAGTGGATTACTACTTCTTCAGTCTACATTCACACTCAGTGACATTTTCTCAATTCAAAGTACTTTACTTATGTAAGAAATTTGGAAATATTTTCTTCTAAAGAAGAGGTATATTATAAAATAATAACTGAAGTTAGATCATAAAATTAAAACAAGAAATCAAGAACAATATTTTTTAGCATTTTCTAAGTTGTAATTATTAATTGTTACTTTCTACTCGTCATTATGGTTCTTATAGACACCCTGCAAATCTAGTGTTGTTTTGTTAATTTGTTTGTTCTTTCTGTGGAAATTTTTATATTAGCAATAATTTCATAGATGAATCCTAGAAACCTACTAAAATGTTTGTTTTGTTGTCTAACTTAAAGACTCTACGAGTCTTAAGAACTGACACCCTTTCCCTATTATTTCCAATATAGGATATCATAGTATTCTAGCTCTTTATCTATAATTATTGTAAGTACAATTTGGTACTTTCTCATATCTGTATTGAATTAATGGTTAATAATTATTTGAACTGTATTGAAAACTGCCTTTATGTAAATGTAAAAAAATATAAAGTAGATTTTCTCCTTATTTAGAACAATAGACTGAATATCATTTTTGTTAAAATAAATCAGGTATAAATGTCCTTTTAAAGGTTTGTTAATTATATTTTATTTAAAATTTATATAAATATAACGACCAGAACTAAAAATCTTAAAAATAAATTCATATTTTGTTAAAGAAAGATGACTATGGAGGAGTAGTCATGTTTCTATTTTGGTCTTTCATACAGACACCTGCTTTAGAATCAAAATATGGAAGATGTATACTTACATGTTCAACATTGATTTCTCCTTTATACATAAATTCTACTAAACATTTAATATCTATGTATTTTACATCTTTCATGATAAGGATTGGGTCCTTTTCTTCATACTGGGATAAGATGGTTTCAAAATATGTACTACAGGCTGATAAAACAATTTTGTGGGCTTTTATTGTTCTCCCTTCACATGCTAAAGTAACATCACAGAATGCTTCACGTTCCAAAAGTTGAGAAAACATTGTTTGTAGATTCGAATGATGGTATCTCCATCGCAAACAATATTGTTGAGGTAACATTTTCACGATTTTCTTGGTTATGTTTTGCAAACAAACAATTGTTACGTTATTTATTAGTGTTTACAACATGAATTTTAAAGGTATTTTTAAAAAACACATTGAAAATTACTCGAAAACGAAAAAAAAATCAATAATACTTGCAGTCTTTTCAGATTCTTTTTAATAATTTCATAGTTCGCATTTTAAAAAACGACAACATTTCACTAACCACCGTACACACCTATAAATCGTAACTTTCATAGTAATTCATAACAATATCACTTCAACGCTCAGATGACCTTTTCTCAAAAATTGTAGACGCGTATGTAAATGTTCAGTCATTTGGAAAATTCCAATAAAAAATGTGTCCCTATGTCTTTTATGAGTCAGTGAACCAATAGAAACCACGTAAGATCCCTATAAACCATGTATACTCCGTATATTAGCCGGGCCAAGCCTTTGGGCCGAATCAATAATGTTCGTCTTAAAAAAATGCACTTAAAAAATATTCAATATTTTCCCACATTTCCACCACTTTTATTAAAAGTGGCTGACACAGGCTTTCAAGAAACAACTATCTTTTTAGGCTAAGCTAACGGCATCGGATAGGCAATGAATAGACAATATAACGCAAACTCAAAACCGGGTCAAAATTTTTACTAGTTACACCGACTGTACCAATGATAATTAGGCCTTTCTTCATATTTATTTTTATAAACTTGTGAGATTTTTTGATCCTAGGAAAAGAAACAGAAAATCAAGTTCAATGATCGCGTCGCATTTCGAAGTCAAACAAAACTTTGGAATTCATTATGAGATAAATACATTATGACGAATCAAAGCTCTCATCGTTATTCAAATTAGTCATCACCAGTTCTTTGATATTATTTTAATTTTTATTTGGCATTTTGTCATTTAAAATAACAATTAAAATCGAATTCGAACATGCAACATATACTATTTGTCTCTCTCTTTGATTTTCGAAAAAAACATTCAGAGGGAGATAGAAAATACTGTTGTAATGACAAAAATCCGTAAACACTGTAAACTACCTTATTGAAAATCTTAAAGTATAAAATTTCCCTATCTAATAATAGATGGCGCAATTGAAATTTTTTTAGACTTTTTTAGTATTATTTTTCCAAGAGATTAAATTAAATATTGTGAAGTTAGCTACAATTCTTATATTATACAATTTTACACCATAGCCGTAGTTTGTAGCGTTTACGCTACTGATTAATCAAGTGTCCAATTTAAAATCGTGGTCACTAAACCCCTCAAGAAATTTCTTTTGACCCGCCAGCGTTCGATTTTACATCGACCTTTCTCTACTCACGCGCTGGAGTGGCTTTGAAAGTGGGGACCGATGGATTTTGCAAAGGTGCCGGCAGTTATGGTCAAAACTCAGACGTGATAATACGCCAGTCAATCCAAGTGACGGAATTGGAACAAATAAAAATAATCTAGGAAGAATAAAATAATATTCAATTAAGTAATAATAATATCTCAGTAAATGTATAAAAATAATTAATTTAAAAAAAAAGCAAAATGATTTAAGAGTTCCAATTAAAAAAGGAAGATTTTTTTGGCGTGTCACGTTCTCCAGTAAGTATATTATTTCATACTTATTACCTCTTTATCATCCACTAAAATTCATGGCAGTCATTGCAGTGTAGTATTTCCTAGAGATTTATTTTTAAGTTCCGAAATAATTTAAATATAAAATTTCCTTGATTTACTTGCCAAGAACAGAAGGTCATTTTTTTTATATAGTCAAACTTAAATTCTGTTTTAGTCCACGTCGTTATCATTAAGTTTTTTGGTTCAATTTTTATTTAACTTTTTTTGGTGAAATATAATAGGTCCTACAATTATTGGACAGCCTTCTATATTTTTGCGCATGTTCATTTCCTGTCATGCCATGGAAATAACTTCATGAATTTTGACATGATGTTGACCTAACCTAATGTTTAATGTTGTGCTTTGGTAAAGTTGAATCCATGCTGCTACAGCTATTGAATCACATTTATTAAACTAATTAATCCTTTTAGATTCCGTCACTTAAATATTCAATATAAAATATATATATACACTTCAAAGTATGGTTAGCAGGTTGCTTATGTGAATCCGTGGATTTTGCAGTAACCCCAAAATATGGGACTTGTCACCATGATGAACTAGTTTTGATGTGCCCAGCTGAGTTTGGAGGGACCTATTGTTATTAAAGATAAGTTGTTGTGACCATTTGCTATTGTATATTTAATTCACTGTGAGCTATTCATATGCATATGAGTGGTTAATATCTTTGCTAATTTAATTAATATAAAATATTCGGGGAGAAAAAAGGACATTTTTTATAGGTTATTAGGTTAACTAAAGAATTTAGTGAGTCTGACCATAACTCATTTTCTTGGATTTCATGTTATAATACAATACATACTTTGATGTAATAATATTAAAATATTTTGGGAGGGAAATAAATTTTATGTGGACTTTAAAATAAATAGATAAGGAGTATTGAAAACTCACTTTTAAGATAATTGTAACAGAGTTATCACTGTTGATACCTGTACAATACGTTGATTAGTTTATCAGTTTAGTAGAACTATTTAAATTTAGATTACTAACCTTAGTGTTAAGACTTCGGCTACCCTAACGGACTATTCTTGTTAATACTAATATTTACATTTTATTTGGCCAGTGGTAGTGACTATTTGCTTGTGGAGGGGCTATTAGGTCCCATTTTATCTTTATACCCACTACCACTGTATATTTAGCTTTGCATTATATGTAAATTGGTTATACACATGTATCTATATACATTCTTTTTATAAATATATTTGTTGTTACTATTTTGAGTTTTATTTCAGTTCTACTAACCAGTATATAACATAGCAAAACAAGATTATTATTTAGTTTTTTTTTGTATTTCAGGTTACTATCTCCAGATTTATTTGTTACTTCAAAATCTCAACTATCGTTGAGTTGGCGCCCTTCTTTTCTCTTCTTAGTGTTCTCTTTCTATAAATTTATTCCCAGTGACCTTCTTTAGTTATATCACGTTTGACATTGTCAGGTCTCATTTCGTTTCTTGTCTCATTAGCTCATTATCCTTGTTATCTGTTGTATCTTTAAAGCCGCAATCCAGTGCATCGAAGCTAGCCCGAACACTCACTTGAGATTTAGTGTCTCTTTGGCCGTTTAACTTTGTTCCTCTGAGCTTAGCCATATTTTTAATATTTTCCTTCCTTCTCTTTCAGTTCTTCTGAACTTTGTCAATTCACATATTTTATTCGTTTCAAGTTACAGACAAATAGCATAAAAATACCTGAAAAAACCATTGGGTATAGGGACTGAGAAACATTTGCTCTAATTGTTACTCTTGGTAAAGACGGAAAGAATTTTATATCCAAAAAAATAATATTCACTACCTACTCCTGGGTTTTTTTTATATAATCATATAATACTAAGACATATAATAATAAGATATGTTAAGAATATATGCGTATTTTATCGCTATCGAGAAAAAAGAAAATGTTTTGTTTTTATAAGTTATTATAAACGTCAACGTGACAACATTGCGAATGTATGTCAAATTATAATCATAGATAAATAATATAATATAATTATTACGCAGATGCTCGGAGTTCTTTTCACAATTAGAATAAATTACGATTTTTGGTAAAATTTCTTACGTTTTCATGGTTTACGCAATAAATATTTATACCTATATTTATTTATATATATTTCAAGAAATAAGTTTGCAAAAATAGCATTTCCCCGGTTTCTTTGATTTTTACCAATATTTTTTCGTTTTGTTTTAATAAAGGTAATATTAAATTTCCTTTGGATTGCTTTCAAGTTACGTCTATGTTTATTTGCACAAGATTAGTTTTATGATTTTATGCGTCAAATCAAAACACAAAACATCACTTCCATTCCAACATTCTTGATTCTTATTTTTAAAATAGGGTTATGTTCTAAAGTTCTGTCAATTTCTGTTCTAACATAACCTAAGATATAAACAAATAAAAACAAAGTACAAAGTTTTAGTCTGGTTTTAGTTAGATTAATATTTACACATTATGTCCGACGATGAAGAAGTTCAGTACGTGAAAAAGATTAAAACAATTCATTATGGGTCTTTGGAAGATTCTGAGAAAGCTAGACTTGAAGCTCAAAGCGAAGATAGTAATGAGGAAAAATCGGCTCCAGCAGCCGCTTCACCTGTACAGGAGCCCTCCGGTAAGTGTTAAGTAATTTTCAAATAATAGTGAACCTAAAAGTTGCATGTTGTGTAATATTTAATATTTTTTTAAAGAGTATATGGAACTGGAAGATGCTATGTCCAGAGATAAACAAGCTTTAATTGAAGAATTTGAAAGAAGAAGGAAGGCTAGATCTATTAATGTGTCTACAGATGATGCTGAAGTTAAAAGAAACTTAAGACAATTGGGTGAAGCAATTTGTTTATTTGGAGAAGGTCCAGCTGATAGACGCTCACGACTTAGAGATATACTGAGCAGGTAGAAAAATTAATTATATATATATATATATATATATATATATATATATATATATATATATACAAACAACACAGTTTTGTGTATTAGGGTTGCAGTCAGAAAATTGGCCGGAATGGTAAAGAAACACACTTTTGACTTTTTGTCTATCTTTTGGAATGGTTTTATTCTTTTTTCAAGGCATAGTCGTTGAGATTATTTATAAAAGCATTGACACTTAACATTAATAACACACATAAAATATAAAACAATGGACAAAATACATTCTAAAATTTTTAAAATTTAGGTAAAGATAGTAAAACTTAGTTTATGGCATCTTATACTGGTGTATACCCAAATAAACTGTGTTGTTTGTTTATATCGACAGTCACTAATATCCAGTACTTACTTAAAAGGGATTATTGCTATTAGTTATAACAATATTCAATTTTTATAATCGACAGAACTTTTATTACATCAAAAATCCTGTCTCAATGATATTCACAAGAGTTCTAACACTCTCAAGTGGAGTCAAGATAGTATCTCAATCAGAGGCCACCTTGTTTGATGTGTATGAAATTTCTAGTGTTACCAAATCTCACATTTCTACATACCTTTACACAAAAATTGGTTCACTTACGTAAGAATTTCATTATTACTGAGCAACATAATTTTACATTGGTAGAAGCACTGTGTCAAATAGATAGTCTGTCAGAATGATCTCTTGAATTTTTTGTAAAATGAATAAAAGGATTGCATTTACACATATTTCTCAAAACAATTTGAATCAATAAAACACTCCTCACTCTTAGAAAAACCAAGTGCTGTAGAATTTGATAATAATTGCTTATCTTGGTTTCAAAACTTCACACATGACTATTATCAGCAACAATACAAATAATTTTCATGGAACCTCTGGTAGTACCCACTGTGATCCCTTCCTGTTAAGTTTATACAAAACTCTTTATTTCTTCTTTATATATGTAATGTAATGATATGTAGGCTTGTCATAGTAATACAATCTACATAGCTTCATTATGTGCTATAAATGTTACACTGTCTTAACCTTAACTTCAATAAATATGTTATGGTAACTTTTTCACATTGAGTTTATCCACTGGACTTTCTATATGAGTGCAACTGTATATTTTTAAAAGAAGTTGAACAAGTCAAAGAACTGAGTCCATCTTCATGGATCCTCAATAGTATTTCAGGAAACACATTTCACAAATCATGGCTTCAAATAATTTGCGTGCTACAGTTAAGAATTATCATTTATATCTTTGTCACTATTACTGTTTCATCTTATAGTTAAATATGGATTGTGTTTGTTTATACTGTACAATCTGCTCCCCTTTAACATTTAAATAGCAAATCTTACATATTTTATTTTTGTAATAGCTACTTATAACACCATTCTCAATTTTGTAACAAAAAATTGGTAATTCATAATCTGAATTTGCAATGCCTTGAGAGCTGTAAAAACCCACTCTTTTTCTTCATACATAATTTTGAATGGAAAGTTGATTGTAACAAACTTCTTGAACTCATTAACTTTATATATTTTATAAGTGACAGCCATAGCTCAGCAGCTATGTTACTGGCTTAGCAATCTAGAGGACCCAGGTTAGATTCCTGGCACTGACATCAAAAATTGTTTCAATTTCTAGTCTAACTGTACCGCCACAATGCTTCGGGGGACATGTAAACTTGTAGGTCCCAGCTAATGTATGTGGTTTTTAAGACATGTTAGGAGTGCTTGTATGACCTGAAAACCCTAACGCTAGACCTAAGCTAGAAGGTTACATGAACTTTTGATATATTTTATAAAGCAGGCAATTATTATGTATCACATATTTCTGTTCACAATAATACATATTGTTTGTAAAAAACCATTTTTTAAATGCCTTTACTTTGTAATGAGAACGAATCTGAACTTAATTTGTTTATTATGTCTTACAGCCAAGTTAGAAAAATAGTCATACAGCTATGATAGATCAAAGTTTGTATTATTTTATTTTTTCATACTTGTGTACTTTTTAAGATTTTTAAGATTTTATCTTAGTTGAATCTTAATTGTTTATTTTTATTGTCAATAATAATATTGTAAATGAAATATTTCATTAAATAAATGGATAAATAAACTTTACAGAATAGGAGAGGATGCAGTAATAAGAAGAGAGGCAGAAGAAGAAAGAAAACAGCACGAGAAAGATCAAGAAACAACTTGGTACCATGAAGGTCCAGATTCACTAAGAGTTGCCAGATTATGGATAGCTCATTATTCCCTACCAAGGGCTAAAGAACGGCTTGAAGAAGCAAGAAGAATGGGCGAGTTACCAGCTGCAACAAAAACAGCCAGAACACAAGAGTTGCAGAAAAAGATTCATGCCATGTCTATCTATTGCAGTCAAGTTGGAGATGTCAGACCCATATCCTATTGTCAATTTAGTCCTGATTCAAAATTACTGGCAACAGCTTCATGGTAAGTAGCTTCTTTCTTGGATGAAATTATTAGATCCACTACCAGTGCTAGATTGAATTTATTCTCTGAAAATTGAAATTTTGATGTGGTCCGAATAATAATCACTAAAAGACCATTTTTTTTAAACAAAATCTACAATATCATTTTTTAGAGAAATAACTTTTTCTGTAAGCTTTTTTGTGAAGTTAATCTCATGATTAGTTTTTGTTTATAGACAAAATAGCTAACACATTTAGTCAGCCACCTTACATGATGTTTATTAAAAAACTTGTTATGTGCTTACATTTCAAAATATAATGTTCTGTTTCTACTGTGGTCATTGAATATTTCACAATGATTTTTAACAATTTTGTAACTTCCACAAAGATTTCACAAATAATGTTCTGTAATAGAAATGATAATAAATTCACAGCTACAACTGTTAATTATTTCCATTAATTATTTTGTTTATGTTTTGGCAGTATACAAAGTAAAACAAAAGTGATATTAAAAAGAAAACCTTTCATTTAGTTGCATTGTAATTATATTGTGCACTTCTTTGGTTCTGATTTCCAGGATATTGTCATTACATATTTTTTTTTATTATATTCGACTCCTTTTATATCTGAACAGTATGTCGATTTCTCCCCGAATATTAAATATCATTGCCAGGTAATATTTTACAGAAAACATCGAATACCATAACAATTGTTTTTTATTTTCTAACATTCTTCTTAAGTATGAAATTTTATTTAAGTAACACATCTATCAGATCTCATTGATTTCTTTAAATGTTTTTTACAATGTTCAAAAACAAAGGTAACTGTGAGAATTTTATAGTTCCATCTATAAGGAGTATATAGTATAGTAAGTAGTATAGTAAGTAGTATAGTATAGTAGATTAAGAATGCAGATTAAGTATAGTAGATTAAGTAGCTCTACGATTAAGAATGCTGAAAGGCTATGTATTTAACACGCTATTATACGGTGTAGAGGCCTGGACTCTCAAACAGAACAACATGAAAAATACTGAAAGTTTCGAGATGTGGTGCTACCGTCGAATGCTGAAGATTAGTTGGGTTGAAAGAATAACAAACTGTGAAGTAATCCGAAGAATAGGAAAAGACCCAGATATTTTGTTAACGCTAAAGCGAAGAAAACTCGAGTATTTTAGTCACCTGATGAGAGGACATAAATACGCATTACTTCAAAATATAATGCAGGGAAAAATAGAAGGAAAACGGAATTCAGGCCGTAGAAGAATGTCATGGTTGCGGAATTTGAGAGAGTGGTTTGGCTGCACCACTAATGAACTCTTTAGGTCAGCCGTAAACAAGGTCAGAATAGCCTTGATGATTTCCAATCTCCGATAGGAGTGGCACAAAAAGAAGAAGATAGTATAGTAAGTACTATAGAAGTATAGTAAGTTTTTTATACTTACAGTAGAAGCTACTTTTTAATATTTTTTATTTATAATTTCTTTTAAAATGTCTTATTGATTGGTAGAGTTTGAAAAAGTGGTATACTAAAACAACTTATGTCAACTGTAGTGTATTTTCTACCAGATGGTAGATGGATCTAAAATAATCTAAAATAATGTCATATCAATTGGATGGTCAGGAAATCATTGATTAAAAATTCTTATGGTTTTTTGGTAGTTAAGACCAAAAAAGAAAAAAAAAATTGTATAGGTACATGGAAATCTCCTGGTGATACATTGAATAGAATAATCTGAAATCAAATTGACTTTGTCATCATTAGACAAAAATTTCGTAATTCTATACTGTTTGCCAAAACTTACCTTGGAGCAGACATCGTTTCAGACCATAACCCCATAGTAGTCACATTACGAACCATATTGAAACTGGGTAAAAAACCCACACAAAGTAGAATTGATATTAAGAGATTAAGGGAACCACAAACAAAGGAACAAACTGTAAAAACTCTTACTGAAAATGTATGTAATGCCCAAGAACTGAATAAAACTAGCTATAACATTGATCAGAAATGTAATAATAATTAAAATAGCAAATGAAAACTTAAAACCATAGAAAAGTCAACATAAAGACTGGATAACTGAAGAAATACTACTATTAATGAATAAAAGAAAATCATTCAAAACAAAAAATGCAATTAAATATAATGAAACTGATCGAATAAAAGAAGCTAAGGAGAGAATGTTACATGAGCAGTGCCAAGAACTAGAAGAAATTGAGAAAAAATATGATTTTTTTAATATGCATAAAAGAATTAGAGTTAACAGGAATGAGAAAAACACTTCAACCTAGGCAACTAAGAGATGAAAGTGGTGCATTTATAACAGATATAAACCAAAAAATGCAGAGATGTAGAGGAGTGTATTTTATCATCCTTGTTATTCAATTTATACAGTGAAACCATCTCAGAATTAGCGCTTGCCGAGGTCAGTGAGGGCCTTATAATAAATGGTGAGCCACCTAATACATAAGATATGCTGACGACACAGCCCTTCTGACAGAAACACTAGAAGAAATGCAACACCTTGCTGAACAACTAAATATATATTGCAACGATTATTTACTAAAAATAAATTTTAAGAAAACCATGGTGTTTACAAAAGCACAAAACATCAAAGTTAAGCTAGTACTAGATAATACAGTTCATGGCCAATCTACCCCCCCTCTTATGACAGATACACGTAAGAATTGGCCCTCAGTCCCCAGAAGCTCCGGAGTCACCTTCCAAGGCAATGGTAGGATCGAGGAAAGAGCAGAGGGTGCTAAGAATCTCTGGGTTTTAGAAGATTGCCATAAAAAACGAAAACAAGCAACGAAACTGGATATTGCAACTTATAATGTCAGATCACTGATGAGAGACGAAAAGCTAGCCGAACTGGAAGAAAAAGTAAAAAATATGAAATGGGATATATTAGGATTAAGTGAGATAAAAAGAAAAGGGGAAGCCTGTATGAAGTTGGAATCCGGGAACGTACTATACTATAAAGGAACTGAAGAAGAATCATTAGCTGGTGTCGGTTTTCTTATTTCTAATCAGCATGTCCATAAGATTAGACAATATATTGGAATTTCAGAAAGGATCGCGGCTCTAATAATGGACATAAATAAAAATATAAGTTTAAAGATCATACAAATTTACGCCCCTACATCATCACATACGGATGAAGAAGTGGAGATATTCTACGAATCATTGACACAAACAGTGAACAAGTACAAAAGCACCTACACAATCATTATAGGCGACTTCAATGCCAAATTAGGGAGAAAACTAGAAGAATCAGAAAATAAAATCGACAACTTTGGATATGGAACACGAAACGAAACAGGAGAAACATTGATGAACTATATGGAAACGAACGGTCTATATGCGATGAATACCTTTTTCAATAAAAAACCATAGAGAAAATGGACGTGGGTCGCGCCCAATGGTTTAACAAAAAATGAGATTGATACATCCTATCCAAAGAAAAGAACATAGTACAAGACGTTACGGTCATAAACATGATTTCCGTAGGAAGTGATTACAGAATTGTTAGAGCCAAAATCAAAATTAATGCCACAACAGACGGACAAAAATTTAAACCATCTAAAAAAGAGATAGATACAGAACTTCTTAAAGAACGCAACGAACAATACATAAACCAGCTAAAAAGAAGTGACATATCAGAGCTAAAGGATTTACAACTAGACGAATTAAACGATAAAATAACAACAGAACTACTAAAAGCAGGCCTGAAGATTGCTAATAAACAAAAGCGAAAACAACAAAAAATTAGCGCTAAATCACAAGATATGCTAAAAAAACGACGACAACTCCTGAATAATAACAAAAGAGATACAGTGGAGTTTACCGAACTGAACAAAATCATAAGAAAACAGATAAAGGAAGATTTAAAGAAATACCAAGAATATCGCATTAAGAAAATCATAGAGAAGAACAAAAGTTTAAAAACAATAAAGACAAATATAGGAAAAAGAAAAATAATCATGCTTAAAGCTGAGAACAATGAAGAAAGAGATCTAGGAAAAATAGTAAAAATCACAGAAAGATATTACACAGACCTATACAGTTCTAAAAATGACCCACCACTATCATCTAAACAGAATCTCCCGAGGAAAATACAAAATGTTGGCTCAGAGGTATTACCAGAAATAACTGAAGATGAAATCGAAAAATCCATAAACGACATGAAAAGAAATAAAGCGGCCGGTGAGGACAAAATACTAGCTGCTAGTAGATAGTAGTAGGAACTGCTAAAAGAAGGAGGAGACACGATAAAAAAATGCTAAAAATACTGTTCAACAAATGTCTGTATGAAGGTAAAATACCTAAACAATGGAGAAATGCCAACACAATCTTAATACATAAGAAAGGAGACCGAACAGACCTAAACAACTACCGTCCTATTTCCCTTTTGTCACAACTATATAAAACCTTCACAAGAATAATAAACAACCGACTAACCTATAAACTTGATAACTACCAACCAGTGGAACAGGCCGGATTCAGGAAAGGATACAGCACAATCGACCATCTACATGCGCTTAAAATCTAATTCGTAGATTATGAAAAGGCTTTCGACAGCATTGAACACTGGGCGGTTGAAGAAGCTCTGGTCAATAGTAGAATAGATTTAAGATACCGACAATTGATACATGATATTTACCAAAACGCAACCATGACCGTAATTCTAGAGACAAATTAATAACGGATAATATAAAAGTTAAACGAGGAGTCCGACAAGGCGATATAATTTCACCTAAACTGTTTACCTTGACCCTCGAAAACATAATAAAATCAACAGATTGGGAAAACAGAGGAATATGTATTAACGGAAAATACCTAAATCACCTTAGATATGCAGATGATATACTCCTGATCTCCTCGGAACGACAAGAACTGGAATTAATGCTGAATGAACTTCATGAAAAATCACTGCAAAAAGGCCTAAACATTAACTCCAACAAAACAAAAGTAATGACAAACACGGAAGACCAAGAGGCAATAAAAATACAAACAAAAAAAAATAGAACAGGTAAATGAGTATATCTATCTAGGACAAGCAATCAGAGCTAATAGAGAAAATCAAACAGCCGAAATATCGAGACGAGTAAAAATGGGATGGGCAGCGTTCGGCAAACTTTCTTACGTTTTAAAAAATCAAATAATCCCTCTATACTTACGAAGCAAGGTATATAACTCCTGTATAATACCGGTGCTCACCTACGGAGCACAGACATGGACATTTACACAGGCCAATTTGGATAGGATAAGGAAGGCACAAAGATCGATGGAGAGACAAATGTTGGGTATACCACTTACAGATAGAAAACGTAACCAGTGGATCAGAACCAGAACAAAGACAGTAGACGCGATAGAACAAGCAGCAAAACTAAAATGGAAATGGGCTGGACACAATGAGCGTCTCCAAGACGGACGATGGAACAATGCCATCGGAAAGTGGCGTCCATACAATGCAAAGAGATCAAGATGCAGACCACAGATGAGGTGGAAAGATGACATCAGGAAACAAGGAGGTCCCACGTTTCAGAGAACAGCTCAAGATAGGGAAAGATGGAGAGAACTGGGGAGACCTATATCCAACAATGGAAGGATAGAGAATAGGTTAAAAAAAAAAAGATAATACAGAAATTGAACAAATATCTTCATACAAATACCTACCTAGGAGCATGGTTCACAGAAGATTCTGATTAGACAAAAGAAATAAGATGCCGCATTGAAATTGCACGGTCAACTTTTAATAGAATGAGAAAACTTTTTTGTAATCGCGATATCAATATATCGCTCCGGATAAGAATGCTTTGATGTTATATTTTCTTTACCCTTTTGTAAGGGGTTGAAGCTTGAACATATAAAAAATCCAATACTAAAAACCTAAAAGCATTCGAAATGTGGTATTACCGACGTATTTTGAAAATATCATGGACGGATTGCAAAACAAACAAACAAGTTCTCGAATAACTAGGAAAACAATGCGAAGTTTTAAATTCCATAAAAATCAGGAAATTGGAATACTTAAGGCACATGATGAGAGGTGAAAAATACGAACTACTAAGGAATATAATGCAGGGTAAAATCAAAGGCAGAAGAAGCGTAGGAAGACATAAAATCTCGTGGCTATACGCAATCTCCGTGAATGGTTTGGATGCAAATCTTGATGGGCACCAAATTTTGAAGTGCACCAAATTTTGAGGGGCACTGATATAAAATATTTTTTTACAATCATTATTTTTTTATTTTACAAATTAAAATTAATCATTTTTCATGAGACATTGATTGAATAATTGGAATATTATTTGTAAGAACACTATTTGTATAGTCAGAATCCATAATAACAATAACTCAAAAAAGTATGGCTTTTATCATATAACATTGATGCAGACTAAACTTTATTTTTATTATTATTTTTTTTTTTGAAAAGGTAATGTGTAATCAGTAATAAGTATCACGTGTCACAAAAATTTGCTTAAAAAATAGTCAGTGATACTAGATACTGGCGGCTGTCATACGCCTTAATAGTTAAATAGTTTTGTCTTTTTGTAAACTTTGCAATAACAGCACTTGCCGTGCGTGCTTTAAAGTGAAATATACAAGTTTAGTTACGTATTCGTTGTTAAATTAAAGTAAAATTGTGGCTTATTAGCAATAAGCCACAATTTTACTTTAAAATAAGTTTATTTGACATTTCAATTTTCACTTCCGAAGTGGAAATCTAAACGTCATTAACAACTTAATTTTAAAGTAAAATTGTGGCTTATTCCCAATAAAAATATTAAATTGCATTAAGATTACCACAAGAAAATAGCTTCAGAACAAAATATAATATAATGCAAAAACATATCAACATTTTATTTTTTAGGAGTGGATTGTGCAAAGTTTGGTCAGTTCCTGACTGCGAATTAAAACAGACCTTAAAAGGCCACACCTGTAATGTGGGAGCTATTGTCTTTCATCCAAACGCCACTAGTGAAAGTGAAGAGAAAATCTGCAGTATGGCATCGTGTGCAGCCGATGGTTCTGTTAAATTATGGGATTTTGCGAGGTAAGAATATAAAAATATTATTTTTCAGAGTTTACTTTAATTATATGTGTTACACAAATAATGATCTAACGTCAAAAGAAAAAGAAATACAGAAAGAAATAGTTAAAATAGCAAAAGAAGAAAAAGGAAAACATACAAAAATAAGCTATAATAAGTTGATTGTAAACGGAAAGGAGTGGATATGGGATGAAGAGAAAGCGCAATTACAGAAAATATCGGAGGAAAATTTCCAAAAAACTGGGGAAATATGATACCGAAACGACAAGGAAATGGACTTTAATTCTGGAAAAATAAACACAAAAAAGGCAATAATCCAAAAATAGTAATAGTTGCGACATGGAATGTATGAAGTACTTATGGGAGTTTTAGGAAACTTAGATCAAATGGAAAAATGTACAATAGATATCCTTGCCATGCAAGAAGCGAAGCAACTGGGAAATGGAATAATAAAAATAGGAAAGAGCACTCTGCTCAAGAGTTGAGGAAACAAGAGATTTTTGGAGTAGCATTCATGTGTCCGAGAAAGTAAACAAAACAGTTGTAGGTTTCCAAGCACTTCATATCGAATATGTTACGTGAGAGTAAGGGGAAAGTATAGAAAGATAGATAAAAAGTATCATTAACGTACATGCGCCCACTGAAGATAAAGATTTGGAAACCAAAACAGAATTCTACGAAAACCTAAGCACCCTAATATACTTCTTCTTAAAAAAAAAACGAAATATTTAGAAGAATAACAGGGGGGCGAAGTTTCCGGAAAGAATAAAATGAAACTGGGGAAGAGCTAATCAAATTTGCCACAGAGGCTCAAATGAAAATAGCTAGTACAAGTTTTGATCATAAACACATTCAGGATTAAAGGTAACATGGACCTCCCCGGCTTCCCCGACGGAAAAGTAAAACATCAAATAGAGTATGTTCTAATACAAAGCAGATATAAGGCAATGGCCGATTGCAGGAGTTACAGAGGGGCAGATACCAATAGTGGACCATACACCAGTAATAGCTAAATTAAAACGAGAACTTTCAATAATTCCAAGACCTGTTAGAGACACAGATTAAATTACCTAATAGAGCGCTTTGGGCGTTTTACAGGTAGCAAACACATTAGCGGAAGAACTAAATAAAAGACTGGAGAATCTAGTCAAGCAGGAAATACAATAAGAATGGCGGACCATATAGATAGTCATGTGGGAAGCAGCAGAAAAGTGTATAGAAAGAGTGCATATAAAGAGACATCAAGACTGAGTCGATGAAGAATGTAGGAATGCTTTGACAAGAAGAAACAAGACAAAAGTAGAAGGAGGCAGAGAAAATATCTAAAATACGATCGAAAACTATGTGGCTACAAGAAGAGAAGTTAAAACAATATGTAAAAGGAAGAAAAGAGAACAGCTAGAAATACAATTTAAAAATACAGAAGAAGCATATATAAACAAAGAGGTAAAAAATGTATATTGAGAAGTCTAAGAAGAAATCCACAAAAATCAAAAAAAAAAAAAATAATATAAAGTATTGCAGAAACAAGGAACCTCAAGGAGAAAGTACACAAAAAATAAACAGATGGGCGAAATGCTTCGAAGATCTGTTAAATACAGACATGGAGAACATGGAGGGAGAATTGGCAGGATGATGAGGGAACCTGCGAGGAACCAACTCTAAATGAATTAAAGAAGTAATAGCAGACCTACAAAATAAAAAAAGTGCAGGCGATTTTTACGGAATTCGGCGAAAGACAGTAACATTAGCAGTTTCCCATAGGAATAATTGAATAGGATAATTTGTTTTTTCATAAAATCTATTATAAATAAATTATTTACGATGTTTAAGAACTATATATTAACTATCAATATTTATATTTTACAATAAAAATTATCTCAAATATAACAAAAAAAAATAAATAAAAAATAAAAAACTGGAAAAAAAAAATTGTTTAAACAAATTAGTTTGTTTTTTTTACAATTTATTTATTTAAATAATAGATATTCGTAATGTAAACAAAAAGTACATGTAAATTAAAAAAATAAACGTCGAAATCCGTAAACAAGAACCAGAGATACAGTTAACAACTCCTTCACCCTCTATCGCTGGCGTTTCCCGCGGGAACCACATTTTGAATTTTGAGGATTTTGAGGACCACATTTTGAAGCTTTGTGGACGATTCCTGAAGCTATTACACCTTTAAAATTATATTTTTAAACCTCAGTTCATGTTGATCGCTTAGTTTTTGCTCAAGCAATTCTCAATACATACCTCGAACCAAACAGAGCTGTATCCAGAATTTTAGAAATTTGGGTTACTCTACTTTATAGAGCTCAACAAAAAAATGAAGTCTTTAACACCAAAACTATATTTACTTTATTATGCTGACCTCCTACACAACACTGTTGAAGTGCTTTATTAAAGACGAATATTTAGAACTTACCGGAACAAAAATCGAGAAGGGAGAAATGCAGACTATATGAAAGAAAAGAAAGTCTCTATACATGGGCATAAGATCTGAACCATTATGACATTAAGATAAGACTTAATGTTATTGCCACATTCATAAGAATTATGAATATGTTATCTGAGGCTAATCGGCATTTTTTTTAAACTAGTTAGTCCATCCATTCACAAAATAATAAATGTATGTTCTAATTTATTCATTCATTATTTTCTTTAGAAGTTGAGACATAATTTATAATGCAAATCGTTCGCAGTGAACTAGTTCTATGAAAATTAATGAACTAGTTCAATTAGTTCAGTTGAAAGAATCGTTCATTAGAACTATTTCGATGGTGAACTACACATCCCTACTTGACATGTCCATTCCAAACAGGTGAAACATTGATAGGTCCAGGTAATCCTAGTAGTTGGCAACAATGGCCTGCTATATGGGAAACTGGAATTATATTGTAAAATGTTTTTTTGTGATAAATGTTTTTAGGGAAACAACGTGATAAGTCCTTCTTTACAGGAGAAAAACTTGTTAAGTCCATGTAGATAAGTAAAAAACAATTAATACCATTAATATGCGATATAAATTAAAAAAAAACTAAAACGTAAACCAAAAAAAAAAAATCAAAAATTTTCCTGTGATCTCCATATGTGGCAAAACATTTACCGTTACACGAAATATATGTTGGGAGAATGGCACCAAACCTGATCAGAATCAAACGTAGAGCGCTGGTTGACGAAAAGGTAAACAATTTATATGCAAAGTGTTTTATATAAAGGCGGAAAAACAAATGAAACAAAGATTTCCTTTTAACGACAGAGATCGCCTAGCATTGAAGTGTCTGAGGACGCTAAACTACGGAGAAATTAATGACCGCAACCCAAATGAAAAATAATATTCCTTCCATTGCTTATATGCTTTACTTTTTCCCGAACATTTGTGTGCTTCTACAGATATTAGTGACAAACCATTTTTTCTTTAAACATGGTATGAGTACAAGAAATGCTTTGTTCGGCTTGAATGTGCTGGCTCAGAGATTCATGGACATGAATCAGGACATGTACTTATGTTTTGTAGACTTTGCAAAGGCATTTGATAAAGTTCAACATAAAAAGCTTGTAGATATATTAAAAAGCAAAAGTATTGACAGTCGTGATATGAAAATTATATCTAATTTATATTGGAATCAAACTGACAAGGTAAGAGTTGACAGATAGTACACCCAAAATATCAAAATACAGAGAGGAGTCCGCCAGGGTTGCGTGCTGTCCCCACTACTTTTCAATGTCTACAGTGAAGCGCTATTTCAAGAAGCGCTCTCAGACTCAGAAGGTATATCTATCAATGGAGAAGTTTTGAATAACTTACTTTTTCCAGACGATACAGTAATAATGACGGATAACAACAATGATTTACAGAACGTAATGCAACGCCTTAATGAACGCTGTCATAAGTACGGACTGAAGATAAATTTAAAGAAAACTAAATGCATGATCATGACTAAATCTGCACATCAACTTAGAGCGGCAGTCAACAGAGTCCGCATAGCCATGATGATTTCCAACCTTCGATAGAAGATGGAACTTAAAGAAGAAGAACAGATAATGTGACTGAACTTGATAGAGAATGGTGAAAGTTAATTCATACGTACTTACCCTTTAACATCGAAATCGTAGAAATTCACCAATTTGGGAAACAGGTTTTTCAAATGAAAAGTGCAGATGGTTCAAAAAAACTTTCAAATTAAGAAATAAAATATTCACAACGACTATTAAAGGCACTTAGCACAGGAATTGCATTTGCAATGTTTTGTTATGTGGAACAGTTTTAAAATTATTTTATTGCTTTCTGCTGTTTTTTAAAGTTCCACTAGCTGCTTTTTGCTTTCCTGAGGTTGGCAACACTGTTCATCAGTAAATGATGAGGTCATCGCTCGGTATACTACTAATTTGGAGGGGAGACTAGGGAGAAATATGATTTTGATCTTTGTTTATTAAGTGGAAACATAATGTTAAAATCTCTGTCAGTATTTCTCTTTAATTTCATAATACTAACTATAAATTTTTTCCGTATTGCATCTCAATATTTCATCAAAGATATTCTAATTTATGTACTCCGTTTTCAGCGAAGAACCTATCGCAGACATTGAGGGCCACATGCCCCATAGAGTTTCAAGAATAGGATTTCATCCTTCGGGGAGATTTCTGGGAACATGTTGTTTCGACAATTCGTGGAGATTATGGGACCTACACCAATGCACCGAGGTGTTGCATCAAGAGGGGCATGTTAAACCAGTTTATTGTATATCATTTCAAGTTGATGGCTCTGTATGTGCTACTGGGTAAGATATTTTTAAATATCATTATACAAGCAAACCTACATAACAAAACTAGAGCTAGTACTTTGTATATGCATATCAATATCTGTGTTAATTGTATTTTTTTTTATCAGTGGTATGGATGCTTTTGCCAGAGTCTGGGATCTTCGAACAGGACGATGTATAATGTTCATGGAAGGGCATCTAAAAGGCATTTTGGGCATAGATTTTTCTTCGAATGGTTACCATATCGCAACAGCTAGTGAAGACAACGCCTGCAAGATATGGGATCTTCGTAAACGTTCCATTCTTTACACTATACCTGCACACACCAATCTAATATCCGACGTAAAATTTCAGAAGTTTACCAGCAACTATTTAGTGACCGCTTCTTATGATAATACAGTGAAACTATGGACAAGTAAAACGTGGCAACCTTTGAAGACGTTGTCAGGTCATGATGGGAAAATTATGTCTGTAGATATTGCGCCTAATGATCAGTATATCGCCAGTAGTTCATACGATAGAACTTTTAAACTTTGGACACCGGAATTGACGCAGTAGTATTAGTTTAATTTAATAAATATATTTTACAAAAGCTTTGTACTTGTCTTTTATTCCAAATTCAACAAAAAGGTCATTCAATGGAAGACGCGTGACTTTAAAACAGTAGAGAGTACAACAGGAGTCAGGGATCTCGAACACTTAAATAACTTGTACGATCTACTAAAATCGAGTACTGGCACATAATAATTTTCAAGACAGGAGAATTTGCACATTTTAGCATGTCATTTAAGTAATTAAAATTGAGTAATTAAAAATAAAAATATTTATTACACTGGAGGAGAAGAGGAAAAGGAAGAGGAGGAAAAGAATAATAATGCTAAAAATTCAAGCACGGAACTGTAATATTAATATGATCCAAGTCTATGCTCCCACAGCTGATAAGATCGAAAGGTTTTATTCAGAATTGCATAATACCATGAAGTTAACAAAATTTAGAGATATTACTTACATTTTAGGAGATTTTAATGCAAAAGTTGGAGTAGGTACAGTTGAAAATATAGTTGGACAGTTCGGATTAGCAACTAGAAACGAAAGAGGAGAAAGACTCATAGAATTCTGCCAAGAAAAGAATATAGTAATTGCCAATACTTGGTTTCAGCTTCCCAAGAGAAGACTACATGCATGGACTTCTCGTTCACATACAGAAAATCACATTGTCAGAAACCAGATAGACTTCATATTCGTAAATAGCACGGACACGCCCACGAGTACCTTCCTTGGTACAGCTTGTCCCAAAATATATCGTCTTGGCTTTCCCATCGTTGAAGGATTAGTGGTATTATTGCCATTATTAATAGATAAACACGCTATAAATTTCTACCTGATCGTTCAGGATTAAAACAGGTACGGCCAATTCTGAGGGAATTAAAATTAATACCAATATCAGTAATTAAGAATCTGTACTTGCTACTGTGTGTATAGTATATTACTGAGTTTGTTCGTAACAAATATGTTTCGTACATGGGACGATATACGCTTGACATTTATTAAACATAATCGAAACATTTGTCATTAGACGCAAAAGAAATAGTTAAAAATGTGTATAATACTTTAATAGATAGAGGCCTAATTAAACAAAATGCTGTGAAAGAACCATATTGACTTACACAAACGCCAATATCGTCGATAAACGATATTGTAAGCAAAAAACGATTGACAGGCCGGAAAAAACGTAGTGATTTTCAATCTGATCATTTGAACAGTTCTCAACAAAATATAAGAACAATATATTTGTTTTGTGAAAATCGGACAATTCCTACGTTAGATAAAGTTAAATTGAAGTTACAGGAAGAAGAAACAAATGTAGATATAAATCGTGCCACCGTCCATAGTCATTTCTAAAATGGGTTATTTCTAAAAGTATCGTAAAATAGACAAAAAAGCAGTAGTAATGCAAAACACACAGATTACGCACTTGGAGAACTGAGTATTTCTCCAAAACTAGGCAATATAGGTTAGAAAACAAATCTTATCATATATCTGGATGAAACATGGTTTGATAGTCATGATACAGTATGCAAAGTATGGGTCGATTCTAGTAAAAACTGCCGGTTGAAAGCACCTGCGAAAAATATCAAAGACTCTAGCTTAGACTATCATTTTTTTTGTATAACACCTGTAGGGTGTTTGTATACTACTACCTGGTCACAGACAACCAATTATCAGTTATTCTCTGAAATAACTTAATAAACAGCAATTTCTTACATCTAAGGACGTACCCCATGGCTTACTCTTATTTTATCTATCAACTGATGTACTACAACTAACGCAATAACATCACAGTACTATATTCTGCTTTTTACACTAAACTGTTATATATTTACATTAACTCAAATGGTTTTGTTCTTATGAGGCTTATCTTTAGTTCAGTCTTGTCAAGAAGCAGTTCTCTTAATTATTTCGGTCAGTCACAGTTTCCATACCCAGGTCCTGGTGGAAGGTGCTGTTACGGATATACCAAGGAGCATCAACAATGTTTCCTAAGTACTTCGTTTTGAAATCTTTTGATAATATGTACTTGCTTGTAAATGGATAATTTATTATGAATGGTAATAAATTGATTTTTTTTCAATCAGCCAATACAATGTCTAAGAATTTCTGGGAAATTCTCTATTTTTTTATTTGTAAAGTTAATGTGGGCAGATTTATTCTCATTTAATTTCATTCGCCATTTTCTGGTCCAGGTATGTATTATATTTACTGATAGTTGCAACTTATCAGTCGCTTCGTAACTAGTGTCTCCTATCGCTAGTTTGGTACTACTATATCATCTGAAAAGGTGACAATAGTGTTTTGTTCTAGCTCTGAAATCTCACACGTATACAATATATGTACAGAACTACAGACCGGACCTAATACACTCCCAATCGGTGTACACTTCTTGTTTTACTCTGAAATATCTATTCGCAATGTATGATTCTAAGATTTCTGAATACTGTTTAGGCATGAACGTTCTTAGTTTATAGTTTAAAATAAACCCTCATGCCAGACTTTATCAAACGCCTTTGCTATGCCCAAGAAAATTGTAGAGCAGACTTTGTTTTCTTCTGTTTTTTTTCTATTATATTCGTTATTTTGTGAACTTGATCTATAGTGGAATGTTTATTTCTGAAACCAAATTGATGATTTAATATAAGATCTTTTCTGTCTATTACTGATATAATCTTTTTAATATAAGGTTTTCTAATAATTTTGATATTACCGGAAGGAGTGATATTGGTCGATAGAATGTCACGCCATTAGGAGGTTTACCTGCTACTTCGGCTACTTTTCAGAATCTGTGAACATAACTTAATCTAAAATCAGCATAGAGCATTTTTAGGATTTATTTTCTTAGGACTCTTTTATCTGTGTTGATACTTCTCTAAATTATGTCAACGTTCTTCCCATCTCAGTTCTTCACTATCATTGTCGTTGGGTTTGAATGTGCTTTCTAAATGATCTGCAAATCGTTCTGTTTTCTGTTCGTTACTTCTGGCCCAGTTGCCGTTTTCCAACTTAATATGAGGAGAATGATTGGTCTCTTCATTCTTTTTGTTGCGTTCCATAACGGATAATCTGTGTTCTGATCAGCTGTTAAAATACTTTAAAAGGAATCAATTGTTGAATTTTTCATATTCTGTATCTCTCTTTTTAGTTTTTGTGTAGCAGTATTTAGACTAGTTTTGTCTCGTGGAGCTCTGCATTGCTGCCATTTTTTTCCTAACTTTCGGTTTTTTACTATGAGTTCTCTGAGTTCTTTTGGATAGTTGTTCCCTTTTGTCTTTAATTATGATAGCGCTTCATTCTTTAGCTGCATTAACTGGATGTACACGTATACAGTAGAATATACTCTATATCCCCTAAATGTTATATATGACTGTTTAGTGAAATGTGTTTCAGAAACGAGGCATAGATCAATTTTGGTCCTTAACCATTTCTGATTTTCGGAATAGTTCCTTTAGCGATATGCTCTAGTTGGGTAACTCTAATATCGATTTGAGATATTTTGTCATCAATCTTAGTAAGCTATTCCAATATGTAATATCAGTTTCTTTTTCTTGTTGCGATGGTGCATGTCTCCTTGCACAATTTTTACATCGCTGTAACTTCTATTTTCACTGACCTCTACCGTTTTTAGTTTATTGCTTTCAATAACCCCATGGGGCGTTTTTATAACATCTTTCTTAGCTTAGTTAGTGTTAGTTGCTCATTGTTTGTTTTTTTCGCTACATAACAGACGTGGTAGTTTGCAGGGTGGTTTTCTCCACAATTAACACATTTTTGGTTTATCTTCCGGTGGTTTTTGGCAATCTTTAGTAAGGTGTTTACCAATACATTTTACACATCTTGGCTCCTTTTTTTTCCACAGTATTTCCAAGTGTGTCATTATGCAAAAATACTTCCGCTGGCTCTGATGATATCCCTTATATATTTTTTTAAAACATACACAACTGCTGCTTTACTATCCTTTAAGACATATATAAATCTATTTGGCCTTCTCAAATGTTTAATACTTAATAAACCAACACCAACCTTGTCACAGTACTATAGACCGATTTCTCTCACTTGCACCATGTGCAAATTAATGGAGAAGATGAAAAACAGTGCCAATATTACATGTCTGTGGTTTTATTTAGGCATAATTATTGTAATTTACAACATCTACTTTGTTTATCTTTATTAGACAACACCCTAATATGGGTTTTTATCATTTCAGCATTTATTTAACTTTGTATCGAGACCTGAAGATGCTTTGCATATTGTAGAAAGCGAAACCGGTCGTCTGATAGTTAAATTAAATTGATTGTGAGTAAGTCTTATTTATTATTTCTTTACCTATTCTCCAGATATCTTTGGACTTATTACAAAATAGATTGACTGTCCTTGGCTTTCCCTGTTATTTACAAAATTACAACTCATCAAATTTACCAGAAAAACACTCTCCACTGCCCTTAAAATCTTAGTGAATAACCGCCCTCTCCCAGTCGTCGATCACCGCAAAATTCTATTATTAATAAAAATCCAGTAGGAAACTAAGTTCCTGTAGCTGGCTGTATACCATATATCACAAAAAATTTATTTAAAATCCTTTATAAAAGGTATATAATAAAATGCCCAAACGGGCTATCACAAAAATATTGCAAAACGTTTTCGGATTGTTAAATCCATCATCAGTGTAAACGAGGTATACATGCTATGAGCCACCAAAATATATGGGTCAAAACCCTTTAAATGATATAAATTTACAGTTGCTTTACATTATATGTGGTTACAAATTATGATGTTTAAGCTACCGTTGGAATTGGTAACATGGCGAAGTATGACCCTACATAGGTAAAATGGTCCTGAGACGAAGTCCTCAGTCTAAGATCGAAGACACTTCGTCTCAGGACCATTTTACCTATGTAGGGTCATACGTCGCCATGTTACCAATTCCAACGGTAACTTAAACATCATAATTTGTAACCACATATAATGTAAAGCAAATGTAAATTTATATCATTTAAAGGGTTTTGACCCATATATTTTGGTGGCTCATAGCATGT